AAACTAACCAAACTAGAAAACCCATGCAGCATACCAAAAATATGATAAACCATGCATACAAAATAATAAAGTAGACAAAAAAACTTAACAAACCATATCACAAAATGTATAAAAAACACTCATTACTCATTCACAGGCTCCTCACATATTTTAGAACAACTCTTTGCAGCAGTTTATCATCCTTTTGTTGGATAAACCACGAACGAATGGATCTAGCTTATACTTGGAGGGCATTTTCTTCCTTGTATTTTTGGCACTTCCGCTCTTTATGCTTCAGCTCTTTTTGTCACAATTAAAAGAGTTCATACCTTGCTTGTGATTTGTCAAACTTGTCGACATTAATGGCTTCATCCTCGTCAAACTTGTCGACATCAATAGTTTGATCCTTGTTTTCTACTGTCGGTTCACTGCATTGTTTGCCATTATCCTGTTTCTCCATGTCCAGTTTCAATGTCATTCATTTGTCTCGACCCTGGACCTTTGTTTAATGGAATTGCATAACTTCCTAGCCTATAATAGGCCGGCCACGAACAAAACCATTTTGGTGAACGCTAACAAGATTTGGCAGCATCAAGCTCAGTCTACAAGCAAGGACTCTGGCTATTATCTTTTAAAATACCTGATATTACCTAATAGGTATCAATTTAAGCATTATCTCGGCATTGGAAACCTTTGAAATCAAAATAATCCAAGTGTGGTTAAAGTTGTGCAGCAGATGCCCAGAGGTAAAGAAATAGAGGACAAAACCACCAATATCATTGATACTGATGCCTCAATGATCCTTAAAAAAGTTATTGTGAACCCATCAGAATCGGGCGTTTGATAGCTCCTGATGTCACATATTGCATGTTTAGTCTCAGTAGTTGAGACCTGTTATGCCAGAAAAGCATTCATATCATCAGTACCTTTGCGTGGAATCCCCAAACCTTGCGAGAAAAAAAACATCAAACAATATTATTGGAGGTAAATTGCATTGGAAATAGGTTGTGGCGATTCCAACCATCTCTTCCTCATCATGGTGCATCATGGTGCATGATTCCATTTCCAACCTCATCCTGGAGACCCTTAATCCAGTTAATGTGATGACACTAAAGTGTTGTGATATGAAAGAATTTGGTGTTGGCATCCCCTTCCCAAGCCCACATAACATGACAGTTGTACCTCCGAGAGTTTGAGTTGTTCCCAATCAACTATTGCAGCCTCCCTTGCCTCTTTAATTGCCAAATTAAAAACTCTCCAAGCAAATTGGAAGTATCAATTATTGCCCAAGCCACAAAGTTATGGCAGAAAATTTTGCGTTGATTAAAGGCCCAATATTATAGCTTACAATGAATCTCCTTATGTCATATGTCGATTTGATGATATCCAATGCTTCTGAGTTTTCATTCCAACGACCATCATAATGAAACCTCGTTCGAGATTTAACACTTTGTTTAGATAATTGAAGCAAAAGCATCTGATGATCATAACCAAGGTCATTTAAGTGGATTACCTTGAGATCTGGCCATGTGGAAAGCGCCAAAGCATTGCCCATACAACTACCCAAACACTCCATAATATAATTGGATGCTAAGCGCCGATTAGACCATGTAAACGATGAACCTTGATACCCTAAATCATACAAGATAGTTGCACTAAGTTGTTCCAATGGTTCCAATGTAGGTTGATTACCACCAATCTTTGCCACAGAACTCAACAAGCTATTGAAGTCACCAATCACAAACAATGGTAAAGAAAACAACAAGAGAAAGCCGACAATTCTATTAAGTGGGTCTTGCTGAAGTTATACATCAAGGTTGTCAACCCCGGGTCGATCCGCGGGTCAACTCGGATTGACCCGGACCCGCCCCAAAAAATGGGCCATTGCAACCCTTTTGACAGTCAGCCGGGACCTGGTCAAACCCAGGAAAACCTAGTCAGACCCAGCTAACCCGGGCGGTCAGCCAGTCCAGAGCGGGTCACTGAGTTACTTCTCCTTAGGTTGCGTTTAACACTGGCGCGGCGACGTTTTTGGACGGGAGAAGGCGAAGGGCAGGGTCTGAAATCGAAAAGCCTACCGCTAGTCCGCTACACCCTTTAATCTCCATCGTCTCGACCTCTCCTCTCCATTCCCGCGGCGCAACCCTGTCTCCCACCCCACAGGCGCCGCTCGATCTCCATCGCCAGGCTAAGTTCCCCTTCGTCGGCGGCAACTAGCTCCCGCTCCGCTCCCACAGCCGCTCAAGCTCTGTCCTCCGACCAATCTGAGTTTGAGCGCCGCCATCTGCCTCTGACCATTCGAAACCTCGAGCTTGGCCACCATCAACTTTCCTCTGCCTCAGGTCGGGTCAGGTCTCGTCTCCATCTCCAGCTCGAGTTCGACCTCCTCCCTCTATTTGATATTCGAACTCAGATTGATAAGGGTTTGGTTGATTTTATTAATTTATGAATGTTTGGTTAATTTTGGCAGGTGGTAACGCGAATTAGATTGCCTGTGTGGAGAAGTTGAATTGTTATTTGTTAGTAAGGGATCGTTGATGTTATAGATGTTAGGAAGAAGTTGAATCATTAATAATCATTTGGAATTTTGGATTGCTTATGTTTAAGAAGAATTTCAAATTGCTTATGTTTGAGATTGAGCAATGACGTTTCCTATATTGGACTCATGATAAGTATAATATAATAACGATTTTCATATTTCCGGGCTAAAACGGGTGACCCATTGACCCATGACCCACAAGCTCTACCGCGTCCGGGTTGACCCGTGGATTGACAACCTTGTTATACATCATATGACAGGTGCACAAATAGATTAACAAAGGACCCTACTACAGGAATGGAACATTTGACAACACACATAAATGCATAAATAAAATGCACTATACAAGACACAAAGGCAACCTAAGCTGCCGCAACTCCCGTTACCACTCAACATGTTGTGGCAAAGATATCCCTAAAACCCATACTAGCTAGTTTACCACAGACAAAGTCTTCATCTCTTCTTGTTTCATGAGAAAAATAACACTAGGATGAAAGCAAAAGGCGACTCCACCAAGCATTAGAACTGTCAAGGATTAGTCTAATCTTCGACAATTTAAGACCATGACACTCATGGAGCGGATTCGAACCAGTCCGGGCTGGCACCCTTTCAGTAGAAGACAAATCCTTATTGGGTTGATCAGTGATCAACCTAGCACACTTGGCTGTAGGATAAGCATAGTTGGGAACAAAATACGTATCCATAGTCCAACTTCCCCTGACCTTGCTTCAGTGTGATAAGGAGATTACCTTTGACATAGTCAGCAACCACTTCTCTATTACCGTTGCTTTATTGTAGCTGGTAGTTGCTTAGTTTTAGCATTCTGTTTTACCCACTTCCCTTAACAATAGCTACTATCGTTTGTTGACAATCTGTATAAATGTAATGCTTCAATAATAGAACATATGAGATTCCCAGCACATTTACATGGTATCAGATCCTCTTGCTTAACAGGCTATCGATCTAGAACCCTAAAACTTTTTTCCCCCTCTTTCGCTGACGGGATGAGTCCAAACTCACCCGGTCACTTCTCCCATACGTAGATCCAATCCCACCAGAAGCCCCTTCTTCCTCTCCCATGTCCGATTCAGTCCTGCCTCCAGCCGCAGTTACTACCATTGTCAGTCTCTCTTTCTCTCTATTTCTCCCCTATAGCCGCCGATGTTTGTTTCTGTCACCGACGAGCCTAGCAATGCATCGATGTGTTCTTTTCGCGTCTTTGTCGCCACCATGCTTCCCATCTCCAAACCGACCATATTCATCCGACTATCATCCATGTCTCTATCTCCGCCGCTACCTCCATCGCGTTGCCTCTTCGGGCACGATCGCCCCTGTTGCACCGCTTTCTCCAGTCATCCCTTCCATATGTACTCGTTTCAAATCCCCTACTTCTTCCTCTGCCTTTCCCGTTCCGTCTAACAAAGAGACCAAGCATCCCCCTCCCTTCTCTTCCTCAGTCACCAAAACCTTTGCTTCATATCACCCTTGTCGCCGGTGAACCAAGCGTTTTCTTGTCTCTCGAAGCTTGGGTCGACCTCTTCCATGAAGGCATTGCATCTTCTTTCCTTTCTCCTCAAATCCCTGTCTTCAATCTTACTTACTCTGCCTCTCCCTCTCTGCCAGAAAAAAAGCCTTCCCCTCTTATTTTCTCTTCCATTTCCCTTCCATCCTTTCATTTTCTTTTCTGAAAGATCCGATCTATTACCTCTTTTCTTTTATGGGTTCTGTTTATTCTTTGATTATAGAAAGCCTCCTCGTCACTCCACTCCCAAAACCACTAAGTTATCTTTTATATTCACAGCTCCCATTCCCTTATTCTCCTACCTCCCTCTAAATCCTATGCTCTTTTCCTTCCTTACTCTACTTATTCTTTTGCTGCATGTCACTTCCTCTCTTTATCATCTCTTATAATTCCCATATCTTTTCCTTTCTATTCTTCCACCTCATCCTCTCATATCACTGCTTTTATTCTTCTTCTTTCCTTATTATATTTCCTTATCTCCACTATACGACAATCATAACTCCCAAAGGAGATGAAGGGCTTTTGCCATTACCAAGTCCTTGGCCCGGCATTGACAGGTCCATTACAATGTTCATATGGAAATGCATCCAGCAAAGCGCCACCACAGGTTATTCACGTTCCGACTCATCCAATGATCGGAGATCGTCCAGAAGCAACTTCAAGTTCATCACCTACGGGCACCAGAACAAATCGCAGATGTCCTCACCAAACCATTGGCTCGACTCCCCTTTCGGCATTTCTATTCCAAGTTTCGCCTCACCTCGGCTTCACTTGCGGGGGCGTGATAAGGAGATTACCTTTGACATAGTCAGCAACCACTTCTCTATTACCGTTGCTTCATTGTAGCTGGTAGTTGCTTAGTTTTAGCATTCTGTTTTACCCACTTCCCTTAACAATAGCTACTATCGTTTTTTGACAATCTGTATAAATGTAATGCTTCAATAATAGAACATATGAGATTCCCAACACATTTACACAGTGGACATGTCGGATTAGTGTCTGTTGCTTCCGGCATCAGGGACATAGATTGAAACTGAACCGCCACAGGACCAGAAGAAGGCCTACGAGTGTCCTCCCAAATCCAATCACAAGAACCAGAGGTTTGAATGATGAAGTCTTTGCCAGCATCCCTTGGAGGAGGAACTAGGAAGCGGAATGATGAAGTCTTTGCCAGCATCCCTTGGAGGAGGAACTAGGAAGCGACCAGTCCCTTGCAAAGAAGAGAAGCGCTGAGGATCACCCTTGAGCAACCGAAAACTTTCCATATCTCAAAGGAGCAACACAAAAAAAGTCTTCTAAGGACATGCGTTCCCAATGTTTTTCTATGATTCCACATAGGAAATAGAACTGAGGTATGAGTTAAAATTTAATCAGTGCCATAAAATTACCTTTCGTGAGGTGGCAAATCGAGATTTCATGAGGAAGGGAAGTCGATGCGTCAAGGATTGACTGAGCTTTGACATACAAACCACCGATGACGTCAGACCGATTCTAGGTGTGAGGACTTCTCTTGCTAAGAGTTGAACCTAGTCAACGCAAGCTTCTTGGTAAAGCACTCATAGGGGATGCCCTAAATTTGCAAACTCACCGAAACCCAGAGAAGAGCAGCCGCCAAGTCGTAAAAAGGCGATGCCCATGACGCCATGGAAATCATAAACTTCTATAAGATCCAAGGAGCATCATCCACAATCTTCTGCATATGTTCCTGTAGAGTGAAGACAAATTGAGTGAATCCAAGGAGTATCATCGAAATCTAGTCTGGAGATCGTGAAATCCCCTTTGCATCGTCAAACTCGAACTGACATCATCTTCAGTGTATGAAGCATCGGAGTCACTCCACTTAGTCGTCCAACAAGCAAATACTCACCACTCGAACACCGACAACCACGTTTCATCCGTGAACTATACAAAAACCACCATATCGATGCACAAGTGAGAGCAAGCTGAGGAGTTTTTTTTCTTTTTCTTTTTCTTTTTCTTTCAAGGTCACATCAGTATTTATGGTTGTGTTAGTTTAATAATTTAGGAAGTTCATTTGATCAAAACACAAGTGGGACACTTTCTTCCAAGCGATTATATAAGCTGGAGGAGGGCGCAAAAGATGAGTTCAACATTAGGATAAGAGAAGAGAATGATGGCGATTCAACTGAACCGCACATACACAACGAATCACCACTACCACTACCAGCAATCCAAGCCTAATAGCCTCTTCTCCACAACAAAACGACAAACCCCCAACCTCCAAGTGAGAGCAGCCTCCGAAGCCACCAACGGGCGGCAGCTAATACTTTCCGGCGCTATCAAGCCGATTCCGCCCAAGGACGCTGCCATTGCTATCACCTCCGAAGGGTTCACGCTCCTGGACGTAAGGCCAGAATGGGAGAGAGAAAAGGCCCGAGTTCCCGGGTCGGTTCACGCACCGCTCTTTGTCAAAGACCAGGACACCAGCCCTGTAACTCTGCTCAAGAAATGGGTTCATTTTGGGTACATCGGTCTGTGGACGGGCCAGAACTTCACGACCCTGAACCCGGATTTCCTCCTGCAAGTCGAGGCTTTAGTTCCGGATAAGAACTCCAAGCTGCTTGTAGCTTGCGGCGAAGGGCTAAGGTAAGAGAGGAGTTAATTATTACTAGTGTACAATGCTCTGCTAATATTGAGAACATTTGAGACGACTGAGATTATAACTGGCAACAACGGCTATCTGTTCAGGTCAGTCATGGCAGCATCGAAGCTTCACCAAGCAGGGTACAGGAACCTGGGATGGCTGGCCGGAGGGTTCAACAGATCTGTTGATGGGGACTTTCCTGCCATTGAAGGGACTGAAAAGCTAGAGTATGCCACAATTGGTGGTGTTTCATATTACTTCCTTCAGTTGCTCATACTCTTGCAAGCTGTAGGAAAGAGCAATAATTCCCTGTAAAATCAGGATTTCTTGTATTTGATTCAACTTTGTACTCATCAGTTCCAAGTGAAAATGAAAAACCAATGATGTGGAAGGCACATTCCCTTCAATGAAATTGCAAGAAAAGAAGCAAGGCAGTGTATGGACACACCTAGAGTAACAATGGAGGATGAATCCCAACTGATTTTATATCACATTTCATTCGGTTTCTGCAAGAACAGACAGCAACAGTAATCTAGAAAGACAACAGTCACCGAATTTCAGATAAACCCACAAGTTTTTCCCCTACAAATGAAGTTGAGAGAAACGACTATAGAGGCGACTAACAAATTTTCCATGTAAACGAATCACAAAAGCAATGAGCCTCCTTTCTTCCCCCGTGCCTTCTTTCTTCTCATTCAGACCTGCTCGCAAACCTCTCCACCTTGCTATCATTCAGATTAATCCCAACCATGGCTTCCCCAAGCCCACAACTGATCTCAGCCAGGACATTCGGGTCGCTGTAATTGGTCACCGCCTGAACAATTGCACGGGCCCTTTTAGCCGGATCCCCACTCTTGAAAACCCCGGAGCCGACGAAGACACCGTCGCAGCCCAGCTGCATCATCAGCGCGGCATCGGCGGGAGTGGCGACCCCGCCTGCGGCAAAGTGGACAACGGGGAGCCTCCCCAATTGCTTGGTCTGCATGACCAAATCGTAAGGGGCGGCGATCTTCTTGGCGAAGGTGAAGACCTCGTCGTCGTCCATGTTCCTGAGAACCCTAATGTCGCCCATGACGGACCTGACGTGGCGCACGGCCTCGATGACGTTGCCGGTGCCGGCCTCGCCCTTGGTGCGGATCATGGCGGCGCCCTCGCGGATCCTGCGGAGGGCCTCGCCGAGGTTGCGGCAGCCGCAGACGAAGGGGATGCGGAAGTTGTGCTTGTTGATGTGGTTGTCGTCGTCGGCGAGGGTGAGGACCTCGCTCTCGTCGACGTAATCGACGCCGATGGCCTCGAGGATTTGGGCCTCGACGAAGTGGCCGATGCGGGCCTTGGCCATGACAGGGATTGTGACGGCCTGCTTGATCTCCTTGATGAGCTGGGGGTCGCTCATCCTGGCGACGCCGCCCTGGGCCCTGATGTCGGCCGGGACGCGCTCCAGGGCCATGACGGCGCACGCGCCGGCCTCCTCGGCGATGCGCGCCTGCTCGGCGTTGACGACGTCCATGATGACGCCGCCGCGGAGCATCTGGGCGAGGCCGACCTTGACGGAGAAGGTGGATGTCTTGGTGGTCTCGGTCAGGGCGCCGTTTCCGTACACCGCCACAACGCCGGTTCCTTCCATAGTGTGGTTTATGGGTTTGATTGGAAGAAGAGAGAAAGGGGATAGGCGGCGGAGAAGGAAGGTGAGGATGGCAGGGAAACGGAGGAAGTAGGATTTATAGTGGGAGCCAGTGGATGGGAAGGAAGGGAGTGGGGTTTGATCAGACGGCTGGGAGAGAGGATTGTGCCAATTTTTCTTCTTCTTTTTTTTTTTTCTTTTTAGTAGGCAAGGCGGTGGGCGAGTCCTGAATAAGCCGCGCTACTTGGGGGATGTTGGTTTGCGTTTGGCCACGTCATTGAAAGGATAGAGGCAGGCAGAGGCGAAGGAGAGAACCAGAAAAAAAGGCTGCACTGTGGAAGGAAAGTAATTGTTGCATCGGCTACAGTGAGCGAGGTTGGGCCGGGCTCTCTCTGCGGGCTGCTGCTGCGTTGCATTGCATTTGCATTTGCATGCACTTGGGGTTGGGAATCCAGGTTGTCGTTTTGTCCGGAGTGGTTGTCGTACTGGACGTTAGTGGATGAGGCGAGTGAGTGGGAGATTTTTGTTGATGCTATTAAGTGGGGCGGAGTGCCGAAACGAAGAGCGCGGTGGGCCGTTCATTTGCAATCTCCCCAGAAATTTCCTCCTCCCCACAAAATCTCAGTGGTTAGTCAAGCACACACCCCTAAGCGTGAAAAAATAATAATAAGTGAAGGGACAAGGAACCCGTTTCCAACTTCTCTTTCGTTGTTTCATTCACTCACTACTCACTAGCCATTGTAATGGCAATGGGACAAGACAGAATTTGAGTGAGGCAGGTAAATTATACGGCGGATAATTTTTTATATGTGTACGTTGAGATCGGTGGATTTGAAAAGCAAAAAAAAAAAAAAAAATTAGAAATATAATTTTTTATTAAAAAATAAGAAACTATAAGATGATAAATATAATTAAATTATTCAGAAAATTGAAGTTTTCACATATTTATAGCTTCATTATAATAAAAATATAAGATGATAAAAGTAAATTTATAAATAATATAAGTAAAATTACATGTAATTTAGACAAAATAGATCTAGGATAGGACGGATCAGAACATATTAGGTCGAGGAGAGTAGTCATACCTGTACGTGGGCACCGGGTCGTGCCGCCCACAGGCTAGCACGGCACAAGCACGGGCACGAAATAAATGGGCCAGCCCGGCACGAGCACGAATAATTTATGGGCCGTGCCGGGCCTAAAGTTCATGGGCACGGGCACGGCACGGTATATAAGTGGGCCGTGTCGAGCCTCATATTTTCGAGACTTTATTGTGTATAAGAACGGATATGACACAAAAATAATATTTATTTGGTAGAAAATAAATATAAATAGAATTATAGGTTCAAATATTACAAAATACAAGTAGAAAAAGAATTATTTGTTGATGTTAGAAGTGTCATAAAGATATATACGTAATAACTATCATAAGTAAAAATGGATGAAGAATTAAACAAAGCCAAATCACACTCGGTATACTTCCAAATTTCTTTTCCCCCTTTTTTGTTACTTTTCTCAAACATTATCGGTTAATACTATCTTTCTCCGTCCAATTTTCATATTCTTTTTCATTCTCTCTTTTGTTTTCTTTATTTTAATTAAATACGAATACGAGCATGGCACGAGCACGAATAGGCACGGCACGATTCAAACCGTGCCCGGTCATGGGCCCGATCTAGCAAAGTTAACAAATAGGCTTGCATGGCATGACACAAAAACTGACGGGCCGTGCCAAACACGAAACAAAATAAATGAGCCTGAAGCGTGTCCGTGTCGTGCCGGCCCAAGCACGGTCCAACGTCCATCTACAGTCATACCCACCCCACCACTATACCATCCAAAACAGGTAAAACATGTTTAATAATCATACCCACCCCCCACCACTATTACTATACCATCCAAAACAGGTAAAACATGTTTAATACCACGAATATTATATCAAAATTGGCGTGAGAAAGATTGAATAATACACATCCTAGCACAAATAGTACACATTGTAGCACAAATCGGATCGAACAATATCTGCCGCACAGATTTAAATTGACATCCCTATAGTCTTCTCTTCTAGTGTTTGGTTAGTGCCGGTTTCCAATTGTGTTTCGTTTTCATTTTTCTTGGTTTGTTTATTAAGGAATAATGATAAAATAAGAAAGATATTCTGTAGTTTAGTATGACTAACTGACTGTCTCATTTTTTAAATAATTTATCACATTCATTGGGAAAGTGAAAGGGAATCTGTGTTCTCCTCTGAGATAATCCCTTCTAGGATGGCAATAGGTCGGGTGCGGGTACTGAATATCCGTTATCCTACTCAAAAAATAGTTCAAATTTTACCTATACACATACTCACATAAAAAACGGGTAGAAAATCAAAATCATGTCCATACCCATTCGGGTTTCGGGTATCCACGGTTATCCATGGGTAATAATTTTTCTTCATAACTCCAACCAATATGTTAACAATCCCGCGTATTCTCTTGTTATGTAAGAGGAAAAATACAACAATAATTCACTATAATGAAGAAAATTAATTAAAACCATACAATTTCAAGAAAATACTATATATTCTAAATATTAAATATGTTAGAGAAGACAAAATGCATAATCGGGCGGGTTGGGGTTGGACAATAAAAAACCCATGCCCACCCATTACCCGCAATATTCGGGTTCGGATTTACCCGTACCCACTAAAAATCATACGGGTTCGAATTTTACCCTATCCGATTAGGTCAGATTCGAGCGAATATCCGTGATTACGGATATTTTTGTCATCCCTAATCCCTCCACGCAAGCAAATATCTTCTACGAAAGCCAGCCAGTCAGTCAGTGGTCACATGTATCTGGAGTGGGCGGCGGCCACTCAGTTCAATAAAATAAAATAAAAACAAGCATTCACAGCCTACCTACCAAATCCAGAATCTGCTAGCGGAGGCCCGCATTCCTCAATGTTTTAATTTTTCTAACGACTTCTTAGTTCTTACCCTTAAACAAAAACAAAAACAAAAATAAGGGAAGCGGAAGCGGAAGCTGATCATGTAAATTAGCAACTGCAAGGACATGGGGCATCTAGTTTACCCCTGATGACTATTGCTGCCAGCCAATGCTATGTGCACAAAAATACCCTTTTGGCTCTTGTCTTGCCGCAGCAGCTATCCAACATGTCCTCAGCCTGGTGGTGCGGGTGCTTAAACTGTATAGATCTTCCTCACCTTCTTCATCTGCCGACGGCAAATAGGGCAGCTGCCTGACGCCTCAGCAATCCTGCACCCAATCATAACAATTCTATCCTTAAGGATCCCCAATGCTTTTCAACACTCTAACAGATCATGAACATCAGCCAGATGAAGGAGCGGGAAGACCTAGGATGTAGAAGAGCGTAACATGACTGATTCGGCAGATTTTGATTCCAACTGTATATTCATTCGAAATTGAAATTTCGGATGTTGAATTTTTTTATTAAGAAGGAAATTCATCTAATAGTTCTAGCTACTGACACTCGTATATATCCTCCTCAATCAAGTGCCAATCATATTATTTGTGCCACAGATAAGGCAGAGTAAAATAATATAAAGTGGACAAAAGCAGAAGTTACCTTGTTCCGCAAGCAAAACAAGCAACACAATGACCGCAAGGCAGGAAAAAGCAATCTCTTGGAGCATCGAAACAGATGGCGCACAGCCGCCTTGTGTAGCTGCTATTTTCACCATCTCTCGATGATTTCCCCCCTTCTGCAGAACCTCCTGCCATAAGCTCTCCAAGATCGTTTTCTTCACTTGACACTGATTCATAAGATGAGCCCCAACTTGAGAGATCGTCATCTTTGTTTGAAAGTAGGGGGGCTCTACCGGGTTCTAACCCCCCACCTCCACTTCTTTCTCCGTTCATGGACCGAAACTTGTTTAAGACGTTTAAGCCCACCAACATGAGTGCTGACATTCCAGCTACAGCCAGAAAAAGCCAAGTAAACATATAGCATGCACCAAAAACTACCAAAAGAAAAGTAGAACAATCAAACATACCAATACCGAGTATATATATTGCCCATCTTGGTTCATAGGACAACTTGACGTACCACTCTTTTCCAAGCGCTACCTGAAGCAAATTAGAAGATGTTTAGCGATTTATCATCAGTAGTGTCAATTCTACTGTTGAAGTTCCGAATTCAATCAAAGAAGAAAATCCCGTTTTCAAATGTTGAAGTAGGTCTCAGCATAAAACATTAGTCGAACCTGTTCAGTACTAGGAGAAGTTAAAAGTACAGGATTTTTGGCGAGGAACAACACCGTTAAACTACACAGGCCACCAGGGAATGCACACTTGTAATAAGCTCCACTTGTGTCGTACAGCAGAGCTCTTATTGTTATTTTTAAGTGGACCTGCCCAATTGAAGTATGAAATTAGACAGGTGTTAGGCTGCAAAGGAAGAGAGAACGGAAGCTCTAAATACTGCTTTTGTGCCATCAATGAACAAAGTTGACAACTTTCAAGAGCACAAATCAGTAATAGATTTAGGGTTAAATAGCCATTTCTAGAAATATTTTTAATTCTCCTCCAAAGATAACTCAACTATTATCTGCCATGAACCTGAGAATTGAAGTCTAGCAGGCACTTGAGAACATAATTCTAGCAGTCTAGCATGCACTTGGGAATTGAAGTAACAATAAGTAACCTCATTCATCATCTCATGCTAACACCTTTAACCAATCAAGAAGACTGTCTCCTAAATGCAAAATGCACCTTGAATGCAAATTGTCCAAGTTCGAACTAAGAAAAGATGATACAACAAATAGAGCCAAAATCCCATGTTGTTATAGTGCTGCATCAGGGAAAATAAGACATCCACAGATATGAACCCATCGAATTCGGCATCAGGTCAAAGGTATACCAAACTACCTGCACTTTGCAAGAGTTCAGGTTGCCAACACCAACATAGTAGAGTGAAGATCTGTTTATTCTCTGGTAGATAGCACCACTTCCTATACCAAAAGTGATTGAATAGTGGTAAACAGCTTGTTGGAAAGGGAAGCGAAACAGCACACTTTCATCAAATTCTACCTTACCATGGATAACCTGCCACGACAAAGTAACATTAGGATATGCTGGCTCCTCCAGCCACTGGTTGAAGTCTTCTTCTCCTGAAATTGCTTGATTTTCAGAGCAATGTGGAAAATCCAAAAGCAAAAGGGTCTAGAGTCTAGAAAAGTGAAATAACGCTAGAAGCAAATTCAGAAAATGAGAATTTAATTGACGTGACGGATGTCTGTTGAAGTGAAGCAAACTCTTAATGTGTTTCTCCAAGGGGAAACGATGTGACAAAAATCAATCAACCAATTTCTACTCGTGATAATACAATACCAGCAGATCTTGTAACATGCCACAAAGATCCGCCTCAGGGAACATGGTTTTCAATAATAGTAAATACCAAAAAATGGACATATCATCAACTAGTAGAGAGCCATTTCCCACCATGGATCAGTTACCATCCTCACTGAGTCCTCCAAGAGCTAGGCTCTTTTAACTAAGCAGTTGATGTTAGACAAAGCCAGTCCAGTAACTCAGAGTGTTTGCACAAAAGAAGGTACTTCTATTAGAAAGATGTCTTCACTATTCATTTCTCTTAGATGCAGAATCATCTAGATTAATAGATGCATCGAACAAGCATTACTGAATGCATCCTCCCATTATGTCAAATAAAGGCTTTTATCCATGCTTGTTCATTCTATTCCATGCTTAGTATCAAATTTAGAAAGGTTCATGACGAACAAGGGCTTGGCCTAGTGGTAATACCACTAGCTTAAAACCTGGAGGTCTAAGGTTTGAATCCCTCAAATAGTACCTTAATCACAAATATGAAAACTATATCATCCTTATAAAAAAAAATCAGAAAGGTTCATGAATTTGCTCCAAGTAGAGAATAAGTGATCTAGTAAGTGATCACAAAACAGAGGCATGCCATTATCAAGAAAAATCCAGAAAGAAGAGTTTCGGTGTACCTTGGGCAATGACAAGGAAGACAGCAGAGCTTGAGGAATTCACAGTATATGAGATATTGATCTCGGAACCCTCGTTCAGGTGATAAACCCACTCCTGGAAATTTTGAAGAGCATTACATACCATTAAGACCTTCAGCGACTCTGAAATGGGCAGCTATATGAACATCACTGATTGCAGAATAAACTTGCCTCGTGAGAATTAGAAGGAACAATTCCACTGTGAGAGTCTGACCACGTTTCTACAACATCGAGTGGGGGAGATTCATAAAATCCATACAGCATCAGACCAGGACTAGAATCATTCAACTCTTCTACCTAGTGCAAGCCAGCAATTTACCATCAAACAGCAATACATAAGATGGAACAGAATACCACAGATGAAAATGGCAGCCTTACCTTTACAGCCTGTACGAATAAGGGATTAGGTTCAATGAGAAGCGAGCAATTAGGTCCTAACTTCAGTCTCTCAGGGCCATATACTCCAAAAATCAAAGTCATGGAAACTGCAAGCCGGGAAAATCCATCATAGATCAAAATCTAGTATGCAATTGCCTATCTCCGCCGCTCTGGTCCTCCAAACCGGAACAAGAGCAGCCGAAAGACCAGAAATTATTGCAGTAAAAAGGAATAAGAACGAACACTTCATAAGAAGAAGGGGGGAAAAGGATCATTCCGTGAATACGAAAGAGCTTGAGGAAACGAAGACTAACTGAAGCACCAGAAGGTGAGGACGACGGTGACACAGGACCAAGTATCATCTCCGAGCGACGGAAGGCCATTGGTTTGCGGCGAATTCCTCCCTGGATTAGAGACTCCAACCTCATCCTGATGGTGCCCTATCTCCGGCTCCGGAAAACGGTGCGATTCCTGCTCGCCAGGATCCTCATCTTCCTCCTGAACTTGCGAGGACGAAGAAGGAGAAGATTCCCTCGTCGAAGTCTGTGACGCCGCCCCGGAGGGTACTTCCGCCGTTCCGGAACCGGAGGTAGACGGAGAACCACCGTTATCCACATCGATTGCAGAATGAGAAGGAGAGGAGTGAAAAGAGGGAGGAGGTGAAGTGCTAATTGATCCTTCCTCCATTGCGAGGCAAGTAGTAGAGGGAAAAGGGAAACCGATTGGAAGAAAGAAACTGCAGCAGTCAATCGCAAACCTCGGATGAAAAACTGATGAGTGGACTGCGCGCTACTGAAGAGTTCCATTTGGAAAGGAATGGATGGTCAGGCAGGTCCGGGTGACTGCAAGACTCACCAATCAGTCCGCAACTCCATTTCTCCCAAGCAAGAATAGTTGTTGCAGCAATTTGCAATTTGGCAGCTAGTATCTCCTCGCCTGGTGCCAATTGCGGATTGCCAATGATTTTAGAGGTTAGTTACATTTCGGTCATATGAGTTTATGTTTATTAACATTTTAGTCCTTGGACCAGCGTTTGTTAATGGGGCGGTTTGGTTTTAGTGATAGTTAAATTGATGCATTGTTAGCAATGCATGCATAATAATATACATGTATATAAGGCTGACTCCAATGTAGCCTGCATTTATGGAGTTCTCGCCATTAATGGCGATTTTGGAGCTCCAACACAGAGCCGAAAAATGGCGAAAATCGGCAATTATGGAGGGCATCGGCATCTGGGTCGCTAAATATGGGAGAGGGAATGCCGAAGTCGGCATTTATGGGGAATGGAAGAATTGTTTTTTTTTGTTTTTTTTTTTTGCAAAGCAAGGAGGCATAAGCCAAGAACAAGAAAAATTACAGGGGGAGACCGAGACTAGGAGAGAGAGCCAGCCACAATGCGGCGCTCAAAAGTAACACCTCTAACGTCTTCTTGCAAGAGCGTGATAACACCTGATGGCGGGTCAGCTAGCTCATGCATACCGTAGGGATAGACGAGACTGTGCTTCGAGAGCCAGTCCGCGACTCTATCCCCTTCCCGGTATGTATGGGACAGGCTAACCAGCCAATCCTGACCAATCTTTCTGCGGATAAGACTCAAGAGAGTAGCATACGGATGTATGCGATCATGTCTTTCCTGAATTAACTGAATTGCCAGCTGCGAATCGGACTCCAGCTTCACCGCCCGGAAACCAAGTTTCCAGGACAACTCCAATCCATACAGAATAGCCCAAAGCTCCGCCAAGGCAGCAGAAGCAGTACCGATGTTAGCGACAAAACCGCCCAGCCATTTACCCTGCGAATCTCGGATAATACCCCCTGCACCTGTCAGACCAGTGTTACCATTAGAAGCTCCATCGGTGTTAACCACGACCCACCCTTCTAACGGCGGCTTCCATCCTATATCTGCAACTACCCGATCTGGTCGTTGCCTCTTATGGTTGAGGAACAGCTCCGGAGCATGCCAGGAATCATTCCATAACTTGCTCTTGGTTAGAATAGAGTGCATAAGGGATGGAGCAGAGAGAGCAGCACTCGCACCTTTGAACGCAGCAACAGTTCGATTCTTCCAAAGCAGCCAAATTGCCATGCTGAAGAAGCTGGGCCAGCTAATACCCGAGCTGGTGGACTCTTTGCTGCTGATGTTATTGCGGAACCAGGCTTCATGATTGTCGTTGAAGAAACTCTACTGATTTTGCTGCGTGACCAACCTTGACCACAGGTAAATCGCCGGCGTGCAATCCCGTAGGATGTGGAGAACAGTCTCCGGGCGTCCCGGGCATCGCGGACAGCAAGGCGACAACGCCACCTTCCGCTGAAAACGAAGGGCGTTCGTCGCAATCGTTCCCTGAATGGCCAGCCAGCAGAAGCCTCGGACCCGCTCCGGGACTGGTAGATGCCATATCGCCCTCCAAATCCCATCATTAACCTGCTTATCCTGATTGGTAAGGAGGATATAAGCGGATTTCGTTGAGAACCTGCCATCCGCCGCCGGGGCCCAAAAGAGAGAGTCCTCCTCCTGGGAAAGGTTGTCGACGGCTATACTTGTGATTTTGCTGCAGACATCCGGGGGGAGGAACTCCGAAAACAGCTCCACACGCCAGCTGCCATCGTCACGAACATAATTAGCCACCATAGCTTCCTCTACGCCCTCCGGAAGTTCCCTTGTCACCATCTCCTTGAGAGGCACCTGCAAAACCCACAGATCACTCCAAAAATTAGTTCTCTTCCCGTTACTAATATTCCACGCACATCCTTGTTTAAGGAGGTCAGCAGCTTTGACAAAGGTATTCCAAGTGAAGGAACTTCCCTGTCTTTTACGCAGAATATCCATCCCGGACCTTTGCCCTCCATACTTTGACAGGAGAAGTTGCTGCCAAATATTCTCTTTATCATGAAGAAGGCGCCACCCACATTTGGCAAGCATAGCCAGATTTGCCTGCCGGGCAGAACGAAGCCCCACTCCTCCTTGCGCTTTCGGCTTCGTTAGCCTTTCCCACGCAACCAGATGAAGCTTGGAATGGTTCTCATCATCGCCCCAGATGAAGTCCCTACTGATCCTATCGATACTCCTACAAACACACCTAGGAATCAATTCTATTTGCATAGTATAAACAGGAATGGAGGACGTCACCGATTGGGCAACAGTAAGCCGAGCAGCAAAGGACAGCCGCTTCGCCTTCCACGGGACCATCTTCTTTTGAATCCAGAGGATGAGGGACTGATATCCCCCTTTAGTGACCCTTTCTTGAATTGCGTGAATCCCGAGATATCTCCCTAGAGCTGCCTTCAAAGGGACGCCCGCACAATCACTTAGGTACTCGGCTTTCCGTCGCGCAACATTCGGGGAGACGTAAAGGATGGACTTGCTGAAGTTGACTCGTTGCCCAGAGCTGTGACAAAAGTCCGCTAGGCACTGCTTAACCACCCGGATTTGTCTCGTTTCTGCTTCTGCAAAAAGTAACAAATCATCCGCAAAAAAAGATGAGTCAGAGGCGGCCCGGAACTGGTTAGCCGCACAGCTTTCCATTGTCCGTTATCTACCGCCTCATCTATTCTATGAGACAATCTTTCCATGCACAAAACAAAAAGATAGGGGGAAAGAGGATCTCCCTGACGAACACCGCGGGACGACGTAATCGGCTGTGACAGCTCCCCATTCCATCTGATCCTCATAGTGTTGTGTTCCACGCAGTACATGATACAGTTAATCCAGCTACTTGGCAGTCCAACTTCCTTCAAAGTGTCTCGCAGGAAATCCCACCTGAGCATATCATAAGCTTTCTCGAGATCAATCTTGAAGATCATTCCTCCTTTCTTTCCTCTTCTCTTTCTGAAGGAATGCAAGACTTCTTGAACAACAATAATGTTGTCCGTAGTTTGTCTCCCAGGGATAAAACTACTCTGTCGAGGCGATATCAACTTCCTCGTGATGGGTTTTAACCTTAAGGTCATGGCCTTAGTGATGCTCTTGAGGCAAACATTATTGAGAGAAATAGGCCTGAGCTGGGTAACTCTCTCTGGCGAGTCCACTTTCGGAATAAGAACTAGCATCGACTCAGTCGCCGCCTCCAGCAGAGTACCTATCATGAAAAAGGATATTGCCATATCGGAGAGAGACTTCCCTACCACTTGCCAGAACTGCTGATAAAACGACGTATGGAACCCGTCTAGACCCGGAGCTTGGAAAGGTTTCATGTCAAAGATGGCTTTGTGAATATCCAGGATACTGAACGGTCTGAATAACGCTGCAGCTTCCTCTTGATCCAACCGGGGAAATCGATCCTTAGGAAGTCTATCTTCATACGGGGAATAGTCCTGCAGATAGATATTAGTAAAAAACTCAAACACAAGCCGAGCAAGAGAAAGAGGATCAGTCACCCAATTGTCATTATCATCCAGGAGCGCCTCGATCTTGTTAAACCGTCGCCTAATGTTAACCTACTGATGAAAATAGGTTGTGTTTCTTTCCCCATATTTTACCTAATTATCTCTGGATCGCTGATACCAGAAGAGTTCCTCCTGCTCAAGCACTTTATCCAGCTCTCCAGCCAACTTTGAGTGAAGCTTGGCCAGCCCAGGAGAGAAACCAGCAGATAATCTAGTTTCCACTCCCTTGATTCTAGCCAGCAGCCTGCGCTTCTTCTGATTAATGTCACCACATACCACTGTATTCCACTCGGCAAGCTTATCTGCCATTGTTTGCAAGGCATTATGCAGCGGACTATTAGCATCCCAGGCCTCCTTAACCACGTTGCAGAGATTGGCATTAGTCAACCAGGCCGCTTCAAACCTGAAAGGCCTCGCATTTTGAGTCTGAACCGCTTGAGACTCCACGCTGGTGAGAATGGGGCTATGATCTGACTGAATGCGAGGAAGATGGATAACCGAGCAGTTGGGGAAGGCCAAATTCCAGTGTAGGTTTCACAAGCTCCTGTCCAGTCTGCTGGCCTTGTACGTATGACTTTGATCCCCTCTAGACCAGGTAAACTTTGGTCCCGAGAACCCGAGGTCCACCAGCTCCGCAAGATTCATTCTCTCGGTGAAAAGTTGACATCTCCTTAGCGTGTTCCTCGTAGGAGAGCCTGACTTTTCCTCCGCTTTACTAATGGCATTGAAATCCCCTGTGAGCAGCCAAGGGATATCAATGTGCCTGCTTTGGGTAATCAACCTCTCCCAGAGAAACTTCTGCTCACTTTGGCGGGGAGATGCATAGACTGCAGATAGCATCCAGGGCGGTTCGTTAGCTCTGGTGACTTTGAGAGACAGGTGTTGCAAGTAGGCCGAGAAGAGATGCACCGAGAACACTCCTCCGTCCCAGAAGACCCACACACCACCCTTACGTCCCTCCGCTTCCACCCGGAACGAATTCGGAAATCCAAGCTTATCACAAATTGCATTGGCAGAATTGCCACTCAGCTGAGGCTCCAGAAGCATCACAAAGTCAGGGCGATGATTCTGGATAGCCAATTTCAGAGCTCGACAAAAAGATCTGCTCCCCGCGCCACCGACATTCCACGACTGAACTTTTAGTTTATAAACCATCGACATAAAATTATAGGGACACCGACCAAAAGCGGCACGAGACCACCAAGAAGAAAGATGAGGCGCGCCGTCTCGCCTAAATGCGAGCTACATCGCTCTGAGCCACAACCTGTAGCTGCTCCTCCGACCCAGTCTTCTCATTCTCCCTACCGTCATTCGCTGGTCTTTTCGCCGCCTCCGTCCAAGCGCTAATCTCCTGCAAGGTCAGGGACGCCAAGCGCGATTTGGATTTTGGTTTCCTATCCTTGATCGGAGACCAAATTTGGAGAGGCTTCATCGGGTTCAACTTGGTCGGCGACTTCTTTCCTTGCACTTTCTTCCCCTTGCTCCGTTTCGTTCTTGCAGTCAAAGAAAGGGTTGTGTCGCCGATAGCTCTTGAGGGTTGTGGGCTCTCAATAATCTGCATCAATGTTCCATTAGGGCCCATAACAGTCTTGAAGGCAGGAGGCTCGGGCAGATCGTTGACCCCGCTCTGGGTTGCAGGCCCAACTGTCAAGTCCGGGCTTTTCGAAGCGGACGGCTGGCAGGAAAGTGGATCCGGCCGATCACTTGAAGACGAGGCCCCATTCCTCGAGTTTGGCTTTGGCCCTGCAACTGCATCCCCTGTTTTGGGCCCAGGCCCAAGGAGACCCTTCCCTTCCCTGTACTCTCTTTAACCACTTTCCCTTTCCCTTTCTGCGCATCCGCTCCACTTTTATTCCCATTAACCACCACTTTCCTTTCTTGTACTGAATCGCGTTGGAGTATAGGGCCGTTGGAGGTTGTCAACAGGGATGGCGGCTGAATTGCATCATTGTCGGCGGCTTCATGGATCTTATTCTTGGCAATTGTGATTTGATTCCCTGTATCATGCTCCTCCTTTCCTTTTCTTTGCCCATCCCCCGATTTCCGCCGGGATTTCCTTGATACCAGCATCCACGGTCCAAAGCCCGGATTGGAATCTTCTGGTGGTTGTGTCTGACTGCCCGGCGGCGACCCTCCGGCGACGTTACCTTGGGATGATGCCTCTTGCATTTTATTCTGGGGACATGTTCCCTTATTGTGTCCGATCCTCCCGCAATCAAAACAAACCGCAGGAAGGTTCTCGTATTCAACCGTTTGCCACTCGCCGTCAAGCCATATTCGGGGGACCAGAGCTTTGGAGATATCAACTTCTACGGCTACCCGAGCGAACTTAGCTCGTTGCTGGGTTAACGTATGGTAGTCCAGCTTAATGGTTCGGCCAATAAGATTCCCCAACATAGTAATTACCTCCTTATGGTAAAAATGGATTTTCAGAGCAGGGAGCTGAACCCAAACGATCATGGTTTTTGGAAGGGGGTCGGAGGCCTTGACTTGGGCGTCCATTGCTGAACGACCAAATAATGGTCATAAATAACCCAGGGTCCGTCGGTTAGAGCGCGGAAGTAGTCTTGTTCGTTGTCCAATTTGACTAGAAAACAGTCATGATCTAGATCCTTAACCTCCATTGCACCTATCGGCCGCCATAAGCTTTTTAGACGATTGTAGAGTGTGACGAACCCAATCCTCAACCCTAGTACTCGGATCACTAGCGTTCTCTGCCAGGGTGCACAGAGCTTTCTTTTGAACTCCGCAGAAATAGCCAGAGTCGGTTCTCCATTCCGTTCGCCGGGCACCAGATCATGTTCTCCTACCGGAGTCCATTGAAGAGACTGATTCAGGGTCATCGCTTTCTGTGGCATTCCCATGACCGCCTTAGCATACGAGAAAGGTTGGCCAGTCGCCGTCCCGTTCACTTGTCCAAGGGCCCCTCCGGGCGCTGGATCTTGTGTCATCACCTGCTGCACAGACAAAGAAGAGGAATCAATTGCCATTTCAGAGGAACCTGTGGCTTGCGCCACATTCAAAATTAAAGGATTAGAAACGGCCATCGCCGAGAGATTTAAAGCGTCAGGTGGCCGGTCCGAGGGAAGCAGAGCCGGCGCCGGAGCGGAGGTTCCGTTGCTTGCAGTCGGGAGCATTTCAGAGAGAGGTTTCTGACAGCTGCCCATATGATTCCGAAAGTTAATTACAGTTGCATCAGAATGGAAGAATTGTTGGCACGCGCGCAAGGGAGAGCATGAAAAGGTGTAATTAATGGTAGGAAAGGTGTAATTAATTGCTTGCTAATTAATGTGATTAATTAAGAGAAGAAAATAAATTTTTTATTGGATTAATTAATGTGATAAATGTGATTAATTAATGCGATTTTTGGAGCTCCAACGCAGCAGCTTTTTTTGTTAATTGTTTATTAGTTATTTAAGGAAATTGATTAAGGGAATGAAATGTAATTAATTAGGGAATGGGGAATTAATATTTTTATTTAGGCTTTTTAGATTGTATTTAATTTGTGTTTAATATTTGTGTATTTAGGCTTTTTTTCTAAGATGACTTAAATTGAATTCATTTTATTTAAAATTTATGTTTATCATCTTTAAGTTATGTGTAAACAAAAATTAGATCGAACTAAGAATGGAAATTATATTATTGAAATGAAAATGCGTTCGTAAATTACAAAATAAATTGTCATCAACTACAACTTTAATTGAATTACAAAGCATCCCAGCATCGATACCAAGCAATCAACAATGACTAATTATTTCCATGCAAGTTCCAAATATCTTCGACCAAGTCTCGACGAAGCCCATGATGTGTTGGTGCAGCACGAAGCCTATTATTCGTCGGAGAAACTCCACCGTTCGTCGAAGAAACTCCACTATTCGTCATATCTCGCCCTGCTGGACGCGACAAATAAAAGGCAGCTAAGAAGAAAGGAAAGGGGTTTGTCGAGTCATGAGAGAGCTACACTGCTCAATTGCTGGAGTATGGAAGTGAGTTGAAGGAGAGGCATGCTTTGAGGACGGAGTATGAGCGTAGAAGGATGGAATTCCAAGAACAAAAACCAAAGCGTGACCAAGAAAAGTGGGAAGTTGAGAAAAAAGAGAGGGAAGCAGCACTATTTCGAAACAATCTTGATCTTATTGAAAAGGACTTGTCGAAGTTGACACTAAGAAAGAGGAAGTTTTACAAAAATCATCAAAACATGCTCCTAGGGTATGATCAAGATGATCTCAACTCTGTTCCTGACTATTCATCCAACGCAAGTCAAACTGGAGGTGGAGATGGAAATGGAGGAGGAGATGAAGGTAGAGGAGGAGATGAAGGTGGAGGAGATTACGGGAATTACTATTCCCTTCTGGGTGATTATTGACATGTTATCTGTTTCTTTTTAATCATTTCAAGTGTTGTGTGTTATTTTTAAACTTTATGATTAGCAAGTGTTGTGTGTAATATTTAAGCTTTATGATTAGCAAGTGTTGTGTGTAACCTATGAATTGTACCATTTGAATTATTATGTCAACTCATTAAGCTTTATCATTTTTAAGTGTTGTGTGTAAACCCAAATTAGGTCCATAATTTTTCACTAAAAAAAATTTGGTCTCGAAATTTAACAAAATTCTATCGAAAATTTTGTATTTAAAAATGATGATGAACTATAAAAAAATTAACATGAACAAATTATATTAAAGTTTCGATAAGTACATTTTTAAATAAATGGAAAAACTGGAAATATTAAGAACCCCAAATATGGAGTTTGTTGCATTGGAGCAAAAGAAGGGAAAATGGGGTTCAAGGCCCCCAAATTTGGAGTTTTGCATTGGACTTGGCATAAGGGGTCGTTTGGAAGTTGCGATTGTTAAAATCCATGGTGAGGGATTTGGATCCATCATGGATTTTGTACAAAATCCATTGTTTGTTTCATGCATTTAGGGGCAACAAATCTGTGGGTCCCACAAACTTTAAGGGTCCAAATTCATGGACCCCACGGACTTGAAAGTTCCACCTATTTAGGTGGGAATTGATCATGGGCTTTGAAGTCCATCATTTAAGACCAAACTATCCCTCCTATTTCATTTCTCTTCTCATACCAATGAGGGCAATAAAGGTAAATTTCACTTCATACATACAAATCTGATTAACCAATTACATCATGAAATCTATGAAACAAACAATGATATTTTTCAAGTCCATGATGAACCCAAAACTCTCATATATTCATCGTTTTACAAAACCCGAATTTTACTAAAACATTCAATTATCAAATCCACGAAACAAACGGGTTGGGGAGATTTGAGGTCACTGATGAGTAATGATTTGGCAAATAGGTTGGGAGATTTGACTTATGAGCAAAATGATTGGTCTTGATATCCAAATAAGGGGGATTTTGCCTATGCAATTCTACTCTCTCTCCCTCAACTCATTTGATAATTTAATACTATTTACAAGTTCTTTTCTATCAATCAACGGATGGGTTCCCTGAGCCATTTGTTACCAAATGATTCAGAGTTAGTTTGATGGGTTAGTTGGTAATGTGCCATTCGTTGGATGAAATAACTCATAAATTTTAAATGGGTCAGACTGGTGTACTCCTGAAATATATTATATTTCATGTACTCCTAGTGAGATATCTCCATCTAGAACATAAATTTAATCGAGTTTGGGGTATGATACTATGTTCTAATGGATAAACCTCAGGCCCCGATTACCTAAACTCAAACCCAAAGTTCAATTTAGTGGAAAACAATAATTGATCGTTGAGATCTGTTGGAGCTCATCAAACTACATCTAACGGTCAGGTCACCTGGAGCTCAAGTTTTATATATATAAAATGAACTCTGAGCCAACAATGGTAACAACCACTGAAAAAAGAGCTAGAAGACTAGTTAAAAAATTCTGTCAAAACGGAGGAAAATAGTCACTTTTGTTGTTTCAAGCGATTCTTTCAGGTGATTCAAAGATAATAATGTTTAATAGTGTTTGGTTTCAAAGGTGAAATTCTTCCTCTAGCGTTAATTTTTTTAATTTTTTTTAACCGAGAAATGTTAAGAAAGAAAACAATCAACAAAGTAAAACACCACCCCACCAGCACCCAAACACCCACTACAACAAACAACCATGCATTAAAATCGAAAGACTCCAACTCTAAAAAAAACTATGGAAAGGGCTTTACTGTGGGAAGCTACATTGAAAATTCGAGAAACTGACCTAAACACTACAATACGAGGAATGGATGAGACTAGTTGGACACAATCAAGTTGGATAGGACCACCGAAGGCATCGGACGAACTGCCCTTATGGATATGACAGATGACAACTTCGAAATCTCCTTCCACAAGCACCCTCTCAATCTGGCGATTCATCACAAAAATTGGTCGCACGGGCTACAAAAACTATGTGACATAGAGGTCTGAAATCTCGCAATGAAGACACCCTACCACCAACAGTGTGCAACCGTCCGAGTCCCAAATAACTAATCCAAAAGACCAATCTTCATGACTAGACATATAAAAATTAATCTTTAGAAATCTCGGAGGAGGAGGGCACCATATAGTCGGAGGAGAGCGATGATGAATCACAACCGAAGGAGGAAGGATTGACGAAGATAATCCTGGAACTTGAAAAAATAAAAGAGCAACAATGACCAAGACAAGTGGTTGATATTACTACAAAACCATCATTTTTCGAGATTTCCATATCCTCTAAAAGAGACAAACACACTGAAGAACCTGAAATTGCGAGCGACCAGATCTCAGGGGCGATTGTAAACGCTTTTCTAGTCCCACTTATAAGCAAATTCTAACCATTAGGGGACATCTAAAAAATATGTTTAATAGTGATGCTTCAAACAAATAAGACAATGAACATGACAGTTCAAATCTCATGATCTAAGCACAAGGATAGTGGGAGAATAACACTTAAACACCGCCACATAAAAACTGCAACTTAAGAGGTAGTTTCAAGCCCCAAGACTGTTTCCAGAAAGGGGTGTCAACTAAATAGGCTAGAGCTTTTCAAGAATTTATCAAATACATTTCAAATGCAATATGATAACTGGATTTCATAGCATATGACTCGTTCTTAGTAAGATTCCATATAAACCAATCCTTTTGAGGAGTCATTGGGATAGGAAGTGATCTTATGAGCTCAACCAATTTTTTATAAAATAAATACTAAAGCTTACGAACATGCCACTGCTTACAATCATCTGAACTTTGCGACTGGAAATATAGAGAGTGATAAATTTGTAGTAGGAAGAAAAAGCTTGAGGAAAGGAGAACTCAAGAATACACCAAATGATTTAAAGTGTCAAAAAAGAGATCCGAGACTTGAAATTAAAGATGACTGAAATCCTACTATTACGTTGAAGAGAATTGAGGGAGGAATCCCAACCGCTTATCGAGGTGTCAAAGGGGACAAACATAAATAAATTGCTTCGTATTACGAAACATGCTTTACAATGCTTA